CGCATCATCCAGTATCTGAACTCCTACCCCACCGTTGGAGTTCAATACTCAGCTGTGGCTAAGATGAGACAGAAGGGAGCAGAGGTTCTCAAGGAGAAGGGGGAGCAGCTCAGGGAGAGGGAGCTATTCCTCACGGGGTTTGCTGATGCAACATGGGCCTCGAAAAAGGAGGACATGTCCTCAGTGGGAGGATATGTGTGCGTCATTGGTGGTGGGCCCGTGAGCTGGAGGTCAAAGAAACAGGTGGAAACGGCGGGCTCATCAGCTGAAGCAGAGTACAGTACATGTCAATGTACCACGCAGCCAAGGACCTGATTTGGCTGAGGAAGCTGCTGGAAGAGATAGGGCATGAGCAGAAAACAGCTGCTGTTTTGTGACAACTCAAGTCCAAGAACGCTGTGCTGTATGGGCTCACCAAGCACATGCGGATTAAAAGGCATTGGCTGCGGAAGGAGGTGCAGAGGGGATCAATCCAGCCCCTCTATGTGAAGACGCAGCAGCAGCCGGCAGATTTTCTCACGAAGCGGCTGGCTGAAGAACCTCACTGGCGCTGTGCTAAGCTGTGCGGCATGAGCCTTATCTAGGCTCACGCAAAGTGAGTGCAAGCAGGCGACAGCAAAGGGGGAGTTTGTTGGGTGCATAATACTATTTTTTCACTGCAAACAGCCGCCCGCATGACGTTATGCATTTTGTGTGTGTTCAGTGTGCATTCGTTTCGCATTTCGTTTCATGTGTTGTTGCTGTGGGATCATGATCAGTCATGACGGATCATAACGAGTCATGTTCGTTCATGTCGGCTCATGTACGTTCATGTTTCTTTCATGAGCGAACATGTGCATTCATGAATGTTCTGTGTTTCATGAATGTGCAGTATCTCATGAATGCTGAGTTTCTTCTAACTGTTGGTTGTGAGTTTCGAGTGTGACCGGGAGAAGTGGGGCTCAAGACTTTGACCGAGCCCTTTGACTTTTTTCACGTAAGTTAAGGGCGCGAAAGTCAGGACCCACGCGTGGGGTCCTGACACACGTGCGTGTGGCACCACAAATCATGCGCGTGTGTCGCCACTGTTTTGATCGTGCACAGTGCGCACGATCGACACAGGACGAAGCGACATGATCGCTCCGTCACGCGCAAGACAACGCACGATCACGTCAGCGATTGTCTTGTCCTGCACGACCGAAAAATATCTCGGTCGTGATGAGGGGCACGTGGGGCACGAGAGATTTTACAGTTGACTAACGGCTTTTGCGGTTGGCCAGGCGAGCAGGAATTTCGCCAGAAAGTCGCGCTGCTTTGTGTCGTCATTTCGACAGTTGTACAAAACGGTAGAGTCTGTTTTATAACTGAAAACGGGAAACCCACGCGAGTGTTCATGATTAATACACGAGCGATGTGGATGTTCATGAGGCGAGTCAGCAGAAGAATTTGGCAGCAGTGCAGGTTGAAGACATATATCCTACAGAGGCGAATCAAGCCAAATTCTGAAGCAGTTTTCCAACCATTTTCTATGACAGCAAAGCACAGACGTAGACGACAGTTAGGCACCTGCCTTGTGCGTTTTCCTTTGTGTGTCTAGGACCTCTCATATATGTGTGCTTTCAACAACAATGCTTTCATAAATTTCTCAAGTTCACAATGTGGTGCTGCCGAAACTCTGCTCGACCAGAATCCTCACGCCGCAATCTAAGCTTGGCATAACTACTCGCTTGTTCTTTTTACGCCCTTGGCTATCAGGTGAAATGCTGTCATACTCGGAGGGTCACAAGTGATGTTAAGTGTTGCCTAGTTTATGTTTGTAAGCTCAGTTTACAAGCTTCCGCATAGTACTTAGTCATAACAAGACAGAGACCCAAAATTCACAAATAAGTTCTGGAAGGAGCTTATTGGAGTGTTGGGGACTAAGCTTGCGATGTCTTCAGCATACCATCCCCAGACTGACGGACAGACAGAGCGACTCAACCAGGTGGTTGAACAGTTACTGCGCATAGCTTGCAAAGACGACACACAGCTACCGACCTTAGAGTTTGCTTACAACAACGCCTCGCATGCGGCCACAGGAAAAACTCCTTTCTTCCTGTGTTACGGACAGGAACCACTCACACCACAGCAGCCAACCACACCGGCACACGTCCAAGCCGCACACGACTTCGTCACCACCATGCAGCAGCTATGGGAGAAGACTCAGCAACATCTTACCACGATGCAGAACTCCCAGAAGCAGTATGCCGATTGCCAGCGACGAGAGCACTCAGTAGCAGTCGGAGTTCAAGTGATTCTCGACACGCGCAACTTGAACCTGTCTCACCTCCCATCCAAACTCTAGCCTCGCTTCTATGGTCCTTTTCTCGTTGAGGCACAGGTGACACCAGTTACATTCCGCTTGCGCTTACTAGATACATGGAAGCTTCACAATGCTTTCCATGTTCAACTACCAAAACCCAACAAGGACCCCAACCAACAGTTCCAGGGACGGCAGCTACCACCACCTCCAGCTGTACTCTTGCAGGACGAACCAGAGGACGAGATTGAGCGTGTTCAAACTCATTGGCGGCGCGGCGGCAAGACCCTCGAGTTCCTGATACGCTGGAAGGGATACGACCCCACTGAGGACAGTTGGGTGCCAGAAGCTGATATGGGCAACGCACGCCGTGCTCTCAAGGACTATCTTGTCAAGCAGGGTGTATCTCACGCCACCCAGTTTTGAGGGGGGGACGTGTGAGAGTACGACGGCTTATGCTAGCTATCAATGCTTGCCTTTACCTTATTACGCTATTACAAGCTTAGGTTTCTTTTATGTATGCATGAAATGCTTGATTTCCTATGCTAGGTTCTTTTCTATATTTTATTTTAGTTATAGCACCGAGCTAGGTTGCGTACACCGAATTCTAGGCTATTCGGTTGCTAACGAATTGCCTTCTACCGAATTCGGAAAGGGTCTGTTCGGGACGCTTCGCGACCCTCAGAACCTTCGCGTATGTAACATCTGGTTACTGCCCCTTGTGTCGAGCCTATATATAGCCTCGTGTTGTACCTAGGTGATTAGTTCAATTCAAACTCTCTTTTTTGAGCTCAATCCTAAGATCCTCACAAAACTCGCTGGAGTCGCAACAGCAAAGGCATTCTATTACGTAAAAACCGGGTACAGCGCGAAAATAACGAATGGCGAGAATTTTCACAACTTAATCTGGGAGCTCCTAGAGATTTCGTACCAGCTACGGATTGATGTGCCAACCTTTTCATTCGTCCCGCTACAGTGCCTTTCGAACTTATAACGGGTTAATATACCCGCATCCTGGTCCAGTCCGTCGCTGGTTCAAGTGCTGGTTCGTCGGGTTCGCGTCGGGCCCATGTGGACTCTCTCAATTGAGACACGTCCTAAGAAATAGTCATTTAGGGCGCGCAACTTTTTCCGTTTCCGTCGAGTGTCATGAGCTCCGTCCGGCCGGTTTGTGAATCAGGTCCGGACGACAGCCCTTCTGGACCACAAATGTGGCAACTCTTGAAAGTTCCCAACGCGTGACGCTATGCCGCCTCACTCACTACAAAGTTGTAACACACATTTCAGACAAAAAATCGTATCTTTCGCCACAAAAAAATCCGCGGCGTAGCACTGGTTGAGGTTGTCACCCACGTCGCGCGCCAATGACGTAGCTATAACGGAAGGTCCCAAATGCCGCGGGGAAGAGATAAAAAAGGGGGCCCAGAGTAGTAGTAAAGTTGCCAACTTGGGGCCTCGTGAGTCGCGACCCTAGTACCTAACCCCACGAAGCAACCAGCACATGCCGAGCCTGGCCTTCTCGCCCAGTCACCACCTACTGGCCTGGGGTTGACGGAACTCGCTAGTGACTCATCATTGTAAATTACCCAGAAAAAATCGTTTAACAAAAAAGAACAACGCAATTGTACAGAAACATAAACCCCATTCGGATGGCATATAATTTGGGAAGCATCAACCCTAAACAAAATGCGGCAAGATGTTTAGGGGTGAGCCCCCTTCAAAGGCATGACGCACGAGAGGAAAATTCGTTAAATTTGAAATGTAAAGTCAAAATTTTCGATTTCGTCAAGGAAGAATTTGTTACCTTGTGTGGTCATACCCGACGGAGAGCGTCGATGAGGCTAGACATTGTTGGTTGGGCACAGGCCCGGACCAGGTTCGACTCTTTGCGAGACACAAGGCCCCAAGTTGGCAACTAATCTAGAGCTCCGGGGCCCCAATCTGATCAATTCCCAATGCCGTTCGGACGGTGTCAGCAGGGCAGTGTCCGGACAGTGTCAGATCTGGTCCGGACGGTGGCGACGTTGCACGGGATCTTGCGATGGCCTTCACGAACTATTCTGTAAACAGTTACCCTCCCAAAGTCCGGACGGGCCTCCGTCCGGACAGTAGAAAGGGGGAAAAAGAACAGTAGGTGTCTCATGTGACTGGTCCGCCCCCACCTGGTACGCTGCAAAAAAATGAATGCCTGGTTCGCAATTCTGGTCCGACGGCCACTTCGCGGACCAGCCGTGGACCAGACACGAGCTGGTCTACATGATACATCGTGCCACGGGCTGTGTAGTACTTGCGAACAAAAACCAGTAACGACGAAAATTTTACTGGTCGAAATCGAGTTACCTCTTTGATTTTCTTGGTAAAATCTCCCCATCCCGTAAGAAGCGACAATCACGAGTGGCGAGAATTTCGCAAACTTCTGTGTGTGCTGCTTCAGAATCGGACCAGGCGCGGGCTGGTCTGGCGACCAGTTTTTTGCCTGTTCTACTGCCATTTGAAAGTTTTGGATCGGGGTTACTCGGTTCAGTCCGTCGGTGGTTCAGGCGATGGTTCTCCAGCTGGTTCGCCAGATCCGCGTCGGACTCACGTGGATCCGCGCATTTGAGACACGTCCTTAGATGTGGTTTGAGAGGACCGTACGAACACGCTTTTAGACTAAAATAGTCGGATAAGAACATGCATGGTAACAAACGTTTTATAAATTAGAGGATTACTTCCACCACACATGCGGCTTGTCCATCATGTGAATTGCCACACACCCCCCTGTGCAAGGTATCAAATACTTCTCCTGCGCTTTGCGATTCTCCTGGCGCTCGGGATTTGGCGCCGCCTGGGCGGGGACGCCTAGGCCGCGTTTGCTGACGCCAGGCGCGGTAGGGGCATGTTCCCAACGCGTGACGCTCTGCCGCCTCACTCACTCTCACGTTCCCCTCTCCCCCACTTCGCACGCCTCGTTCCTACCCCGCGGACGCCGCCGCGGACTCTTCCTTTCTCATCCGCCATCGCCTCTCCTCTTCCCCACGCCGTCACCTCTCCTCTCTCCCCGCCGTCGTGACTCCTCTTCCCCCCCCGTCGCCTCTCCTCTTTCCCCCGCGTCGCCTCTCCTCTTTCCCCCGCGTCGCCTCTCCACTTTCCTCCGCGTCGCCTCTCCTCTTTCCCCCGCGTCGCTCTCCTCTTTCCCCCGCCGCCGCCTCTCCTCTCAAACGGTCTATGCATTGATAGTCCAGAAATATACAGACATGCAGGCGAGTACAGATAACATCCTAAACAGCACCATCAGCAGAGCAGTTGCCCATCATCTTCTCTCCTCTCTCCCCCTCCCGTCGCCTTCGTTCCCCCCTGTCGGTCATCCCTGACGTGGTGGAAGTGGAAAGGCGACGCGGGTCCCCCTTCATGAGGGCGGGGAACATGAGTGAAGCGCCCGAGCGGTGGTGGTGCAGGTAGCTGCCTCGCATATTCACCTCCTCCCAACCCTTCCCCCACTCCTCCCAACTCCTTCTTCCCCCCTCCCCTCGCTCTGATTCGTCCGTTCTATTTCCCACCCCGCCCCTCCTCGACTCCACCAAGCGGCACTGCAGATTCCAACACTAGCTCCCCTCCTCGACTCCATCGCCTTCTACACCTGCCCGCCCTCCAATGTGGGTGGCGTGGCTGGGAGAGTGACTGTGAGCGGGAGAGTGTGCGAGATCAGTCATAGTGTGAGGGAAAGAGTACAAGGAGATAGCGTGAGACTGTGTGAGAAGGAGGGGTTTGTGAGATTGATAGTGTGTAAGACATTGAGAGTAACAGTGGGCGTGAGCAAGATATGGATCGCGCCTTTTGGCGCCCATTCCAATGAAACATCTTGCCTCTTCACTTGCATCCCATCAACTGGCGCTTCAACTGTTTCCACCTCCCCGTCCGCTCCACCACCAACCCCACGCTTAAACAATCTTCCCGCCAACCTCCCCTTGTTTCCTCTCCCATCGCCCCGGCACCAGCCACATCATCATCGCCCCTCTCACCACTGTACTACCCGTCCTCCCCCGTGAGCGCGTGGTGCCATGGAGGGAGGCGCAGCAGCAGCGCCAGTGAGCGGCACGGCCTTTTCCCTGCCACGCTTCTACGACTACCCTCCCTACTTCACGTGCGACACCTCGCTGCACCTGCCGCACCTCTCGTTGCTATCGAGCACCTCTCGTTGCTATCGAGCACCTCTCGTTGCTATCGAGCACCTCCTCGCTTCTTGCTCCGTTTTGCCTCTTCACTTGCATCCCATCAACCGGAGCTGTTTCCACCTCCCTGCTGTACGCTCCTCTGCTTTGGCACGCCTTCCCCTTTTCCCTCCGTACCATCCCCTTCTCACCTCCTCTCCCCCCCTCTCCCCCCTACCGTTCCGGAACAATCATCACGGCCGTCCATCTGACGGGCCGGCAGGCTGCAGCCGGTCAAGGCGACGCGCGAGCGGCAGGTGCGGCTGTGGGCGGAGCTGATCGTGGCGTGGTGCCGCCACCACCGCACGCTGCTCGTCTCCCTCGACCACTTCCCCCTCTTCCACAACGCTTCCATCCAGCGTGAGGGCTTGGGGGGGCAGGCGGGGCAGTGCGCATGTTTGCTGGGGGGTGCCGAGAGGGAGAAGCAGAGGGAGGGGCCGGGAGGAGGGTTGAGGGGGGGGGGACGGAGGCAAGGGGCGAATGGGGAAAAGGGGTGTCATGGTGGGGGTGACATGGGGCGTGGGGACGGCTCTTTGCTTGTGCATGGGAGTGGGGGCATGGGTAGAACCTTCACCCCTAGATATCTCGCTACTCTTCTTGGCCCCTCCCCCTCTCTCTTATACACTTTTAAATAGGTTGCTGTATTGATTACAAGGTGTGTTATAACACCGTACGTAAGACTGAAAGAGGAACGCAACGGGTGGGTGAGTGTTGACAGGTGGAGAGTGGATGGGGCAGGGCGCATCTAGTTGAGGAAGAGTGGGGAGGGGGTAGTCCAAGCTGATGGGGGAAGGGAAGATTGGATTGAGAGTTTCTGCTCTTGACCTCTCTGCTTATTCCCCTCCATCACATTCGACGACTTCCTTTTCCCCATGCATTCGTTTCTCACCTGTTCCTCACTCCTGACTCAGCTCCGTGCACGTCCGACTTCTCTCTATTCTTGTCCCAACGGCCTGGTCCACCCTGTGTGTGTGGAATCAATCACGGCAGGCAAACTGACGTTCGAGGCTCGGCAAGTCTTTCTGGAGGCTCTTGTTGCAGAAGGCAAGCTCACTCCGCCTCTCTTGTTATCCTCCCAACGCTCACATGGGCCCAACGCTGCTGTGCTCTCAACAACCACATTTCTAGGCGCATAAATTATTCCTTCCGCTCACATTCCTTCTCAACAGCATCACCTTCATTCTGTCTCCACTCAATGTATCGCCTCCGATGGCCATCCTCCACTTGTTTCCCCAGTGTCTTCAGCCTGCAGAGTTCATGGATTAGGGCGCTTCGTTCCCATCAAGCTCATGTGCCCATGAAGCAGAGCTGTGCATTTCCTCCTTTGCTCTCCCTCCCCCCGTGTGGCAGGGCGGGCGGAGTGGACGGATCGCAGTCGAACGCGGTGCCTCGTTCTGTGGAAGTCCATCAACGACTGGGCAGACACCCTGCTGCACTTCGTACGCCCGCCTCCCCTCCCCTCTCTCATGTGGTCCGTGCATCAATTGGTACAACTGGTGATGTCAACAAAGGGGGTGTAAATGGATAAACTGAAGATCCAAAGGCCTGTAGCAGTGATGAACGAGAAGGCATACACGGTGGGTGGTGCAGCGAGGTCTTAGCTGATTCAAGGTGGGCGAAAAAGGTGTCTTGGAATGGATTGGTCCTCAACGCTGTGCACGAGCCAATCCCGATGTCAAGCACTTTGGGTTTGTCCCTTTGGCTAAGAGAGCCCGCTTGACGAGGCAGGGGCAGCTCTCACACACAATGTCTCTTCTCATCGCGGCGTACGGGCGTGGGCGTGGGTTGGCACTCGGCATTCACCCCTGTACGTGGCGGAGGGGGGCTGCGCAGCTGGAATCAGTTCCAGCAGGCGATGCAGTGGTGGGGTGGGCGGGGCAGAGCTTCATGTTTGACAGAAAATCCATCAGCTCGGCCGACTGGGCTCTCGCGTGGCCGAGTGGGATGACAAGAAAGGACGCTTTGGGCGCATGGGTTGAGGCGGATACTGGTGGAGGTAAAGATTCACCTGCGAGGCGTGGAGAGGTACGAGGCTTGAGTGACGGCCGGCAGGCACCTGCGGAAGCGAGAGTGGCAGGCAGGCAGCTGACGTGATGGTGACGAAGCGAGGGGACGTTCCCCGCGTAGAGGGGGACCATGGGGTCACGGTGGCTCACTCCTGGGGCACTCACCACCAGGTGTTTTGAAGGAAGGTCGCGAAGTGCGGTGTGGATGATTTGTGAGGAGGAAGAGGAGGAAGGATTCAAACAGAAGGGGGGTGCAGCGAGTGCCTCATAACAAGCCTCGTGTGCGAGATCGCAGCTGTTCAGTTATCGCGTCAGAGAGAAGCTATATAGATGGTGACAGGTTAGTGTCAAGTCATGGTTGGGTTGAGATTTGAGTGTGTGGAAGTTCATCCGCAGGGTACACAGGCTAAAGCTCTGGGCATGTGAAAAGCGTGGATGTTCTATGGGCGAGCAGCATAGGAGAGAGCAGGGCTGGAGTGGCGGACGGGGCACGTGGGCGCCCGTGGGATGAGGGAAGCGGGGGTGGAATGTTCTGAGGGTAAACCATCGGGTGGAAGAAGTTGGTGGAAGAAGTTGGTGGAAGAAGTTGGTGAAAGAAGTTGGTGGAAGAAGTTGGTGGAAGAAGTTGGTGGAAGAAGTTGGTGGAAGAAGTTGGTGGAGGAAGTTGGTGGAGGAAGTTGATGGAGGAAGTTGGTGGAGGAAGTTGGTGGAGGAAGTTGGTGGAGGAAGTTGGTGGAGGAAGTTGGTGGAGGAAGTTGGGGGCACACAATCACGAGTTGCTTGGGTCGTGGTGGTGGGATCCAGGCTCGGAGCAGGTGGGGCACGCGTGGGGCGTGATGCATCCAAGCTTTTAGCGGAACAGCAGCAAACCCGGGGGCGCTGAGGTTGGGCCCATCGCACGGAGAGTTGAAGTCTAAACAGTCCTGAAGGGCAGGTACACAGCCCAGCCACTATGTACTCTTTCGTGGGCGTCTGATTCATTCTTTCCTGTATGCTTCTTCCTTGTCTGCCTGCTGTGATCCTTAGGTGCGAGAGAACGGATTTGGAGACTCTGTTTTGACACTCGAGGAGATACGAGCAGGGGATGATACGAAAGGGACAGGTATGCATGCAAGTGTGCTTTCTTCATCGCATGCGGCATGTGTCCAGCCTGACTGGTTATTGAGAGCACTAGGGTGAAGGCAAGACTTGTAGTGAAACGCGCGCTGCTGTGGTCTCAGATGTTCCTCCTCTTGGCTCGCCTAACCCACTGTTGCTTCGGTGAGCGTTAGAGGACGGTTACTGCATCCTGTTCATCAATAGTGTGTGCGGGTGTGCCCATGTGTGAGGTGCGTGTGTGAGCATGTGCAAGTGTGCGCATGTGCACGTATGCGCATGTGTGCATTTGTGGGTGTGTGTGTGTCCATGTTTGCCTGTGTGCATGTGTGTGTGTGTGTGTGTGTGTGTATGTGTGCGCGTTTGCATCTGTTCATGTGTGCATAGTGTATGTGAATGTAAGTCATGTGTGCATGTATGGATGTGTGTCTGTCTGCATGTGTGGATGTGTGTCTGTCTGCATGTGTGCATGTATGCATGTGTGCATGTGTGCATGTGTGCATGTGTGTTTGTGCATATGTGCATGTGTGCGTGTGCATTTGTGCATATATGAATGTCTGCATGTGTATGCATGCATGTTTGCATGAGTATGTGTGCATGTGTTCATGTCTGCTTGTGTGTGTGTGTGTGTGTGTGTGTGTGTGTGTGTGCGCGTGCGTGCGTGCGTGCGTGCGTGCGTGTGTGCCTGTGTGCATGTTTATGTGTGCATTTGTGTGTGCATGTGTGTGTGTGTATGTGTGTGTGTGTGCGTGCGCGTGCGTGCGTGCGTTTGCGTGCGTGTGTGTGCGTGTGTGTTTGTAAGCATGTGTATGTGTGTGTGTGCGTGCATGTGTATGTGTGTGTGCATGTGTATGTGTGCATATGTGTATGTGTACATGTGTATGTGTGTGTGTGCGTGCATGTGTATGTGTGTGTGCATGTGTATGTGTGCATATGTGTATGTGTACATGTGTATGTGTGCGTGTGTACATGTGTATGTGTGCATGTGTGCATGTGTGCATGTGCATGTGTGCTTGTGTGTGTGCCGTGCAAGTGTATGTGTGCATGTGTGCATGTGTGTGTGCATGTGTGCATGTGTGTGTGCATGTGTGCATGTGTGTGCATGCGTGCACCAGACCTGGAGGGCATTGACGAGGATGTGTTGCGGAGGGCCATCAGAGTGCTGGAGGGGAGGGGCCTCGCCACGCTCTTCAAGGGCTCCTCCTCCGACGATGAAGGGGTCAAGTTCTTCGCCTAGCTGCTGCCACTGGACTTGGGGGAGTTGGGTTGCAAGGGACGTTATGGTCTGGCGTTTGGGGCTGCACCAAGGGGAATAGGGAGTTTAATGCGCTCTGCTGAAGCTTCTGTAAAATTCTTTAACACATTTGTGAACTCGTCATTTCGTGGAAATTTTGCTTCAATAGGCTTTTGTTTCATAGACTAACCCTGACATTTTGTTACACCAAGCTCTTGATAATTCACACCTCTCTTCGTTGTCTTCAGTCAATGCTATGGGTTGCTGAGCTGGCTAAACGTGATGGACACTGGGCCTATGCTAGGATTTTAGCCACAATATTTTTACAAAAGAAGACACAACATTATATTCTCGAATGTACTCTTTGCAAAGAATGTTATCTACATTTTTTTCCGAAGAGTATACGCAAGCTTGGAGTATTCCGAAGAGTTTCCAACCGCTCAAAAAGTTTTTATTCCGAAGAGTATACTCTTTGCAAATAATGTTATCTATATCATTACCCGTATCTGTATTTTCTCTTTGCCGGATCAGTGCCCCGAGCTTGGCCTCCCACCTGCACCCTTGGGGTTTAGGGTTTACATTTCGGGAGGGATACATTTCGGGAGGGATCAACCCTAAACACCGGGCGGGTTCCCGTGTTTAGGGTTGATCCCTCCCGAACAAGTGTCCCCCAGGGGTATTACTGTTTTTGTGCCCCGTCAAAATTGTAGATGTGAAATAGACACGTTTCAATATTTGAGCCCCACAGGACCAGTTTTGAACATAATTTGGGCCTCGCGTGAGCCAAATCCCAGAAAGTGGGACCTTTCGAGTAAACCTGGGGGTAAATATGAGAGAAATCTGAAAGTAAGGATCTAGGATATAGTTTCCCCCCTTCTAACCATCCCGAGCTGATGCAATCCACTAGCAATTGCAAGTTATATGTTCAAAACACCGTAAGCACATATTTCTATCGAATCGCCTCTACGAACGGCGGCGCCGTTATCTCATGCCTCTCGTAACTTCCGCGCATCGACAAACTTCCCTCGACTCTCTGCCTCCTTCCCTCGCGACCCTTGAAAATCGCCAGCCTCGCCATCGTAGCACGCGTTGCAGCTTACCCACGCTGCTGCCGAGTCACTTCGCAGAAACACAGGTCTCAGAAACCCTAAAGAGAGGTAAGCCTCTCGTTCCCCTGTCAAGCCTCCGCATTTCAAGCCTTCCAGAGGCTCACAGTCGACGAATCATGGCGCTCGTAAGTGGGACTTAGAAACCGAATCGCTCATGCCGTGCACATCGCCACTGCTACCACGACCAGCAGTGCCTCGCAAGTGGCCTCTCGTAGCATGCTTGCACCTTCTACTTGTTGCCCCGGCCTTTCCGTGCTGCTTCCCCTCGCCCTCGCTCGTACACTCCGCTGTCACTCACCCTGGCTCCCTTGTCTGACCTACCTGGTCTGACCTACCTGGTCTGACCTACCTGGTCTGACCTAGCTTGTCTGACCTACCTTGTCTGACCTAGTCTGTCACTGACGTACCTGAAGGTTGACACAGCTTGTGACTGACCTAGCTTGTGACTGACCTAGCTTGTGACTGACCTAGCTTGTGACTGACCTAGCTTGTGACTGACCTAGCTTGTGGCTGGCAGCCTAGACACGTGCACAGGGACGAGACGCAGGTAGACTTGAGTTGACCTCGAGTGGAGAGTGTCGGGTCGAGGCGGCCCTCATTCGAATCAACTCGCGTGTAGAGATTGACTAGAACTGGTAGTAATGTGGCTATCCAGTCACGATAGATGGGCACATGTAGGACCTTAGCATGATTCTAGAGATCGTTTATGGTTCAGTCAAGTTACTTCGAGCTGTAGCGGATCGTTTGGCTTGACGGTGATAACGTAGGAACTACCCAAATCGGGTTGCGTGGCAGCGTGAGGCAGGATAGGCCTAATGCGATTGGTTCGGAGCGAAGGGAAGACGACCTAAGGTGGATCGCTTGGTGCTAATGAGAACATGGAATTTTGTTTGGCGAGACTATGTCGAGAAAGTTGGGATTTCGGATCCAGAATACGCGACATCCACTTTCTAAGGTATGTGCAACCTATTCGACCAGCGATGAGTCACGCATCTCGTCGAGTCACGGGCTTGGCGAGACTTTGCCCACCGACTCAATCTAGTGAGGCGATGCAATGGTCATTAGTAGCTTGAGCCGACTCAACTCGACTCGACTCGACTTTGCTCCATCGAGTTTGGCGAGTCGACTCAACTCTTGACTGGCTGGTCGCAGCTACCCTGGACTGAGCTTAGCCTTGCATTTGACCGACCCAGGTTGTTGTGAGTGACCCAATCCATGACTGACGTAGACAGACAGTGCTGTAATCCGCGACCATCCTAGCCAATGACTGACCTGATTTGTATCAGACCTAGCTTGTGCTTGACCTAGCGTGGGACGGACCTATTCCATGGAAGGTTCAAAGTAATGTCTTAACCCGTGAGTGACATAGGATCTGCCTGTCTGAATTCCTGACTGTCTGAATTCCTGCCTGTCTGAATTCCTGCCTGTCTGAACTTGAGTCAGACCTAGCTTGTGAGTGAGTGTCCTACCTTGTGGGTGACCAAACATCTATGTTGCCTCGCGTGTTAGTAACCTATCCGGTGACTAATCCACGTCAGGACTGTCGTAGCCCCCCACGGACTTATTTTGTGAATGACCTACCCCGTGGCTGACCTACCCCGTGGCTGACCTACCCCGTGGCTGACCTACCCCGTGGCTGACCTACCCCGTGGCTGACCTACCCCGTGGCTGACCTACCCCGTGGCTGACCTACCCCGTGGCTGACCTACCCCGTGGCAGACCTACCCCGTGGCTGACCTACCCCGTGGCGAACATAGCCCGTGAGCATCATACCCTCTGTCGTAACACAGGCTGTCTGTGACTGACCTAGCTTACTCGTGGACGGTGGAACAAGTGACCTGGCCAATAAGTGACCTGGCCAATAAGTGACCTGGCCAATAAGTGACCTGGCCAATAAGTGACCTGGCCAATAAGTGACCTGGCCAATAAGTGACCTGGCCAATAAGTGACCTGGCCAATAAGTGACCTGGCCAATAAGTGACCTGGTGAATGAGTGACCTAGCCTCAAAGCATCTCAATTCGTGACTGGCCTAGCCTAGTCTATACTGCCCCAGCCTATGGGGGGCCTAGTGTGAGACTCACAGGGCAACGCCACGTCGACCTCCTCCAGGGGTGGTCCGCCTTCCCAGGGGATGTGGCACGTCTCGGGTCTCCGCCGACCTGAGCCAGTGGAGGAACTTTGAACAACGGAGGTCTTGAGTGCATCACATCTCACTTGGCGGAGGTCTTGGTTGACCGTGGCAAGTCAACTACCCGTCTTCTCTCTCGCCTCAGAGAACAGCTGAAATGGCCAACCAAGTTGTCACTGAGCCTTTTGCTCACTCATACTATATATGGCTTTCCCTACCATTTTGTTTTCCCCCTTTCCGTATACTTTCAGATCCCCTCGTCGTGAGCTCGCGTGACGTCAGGTTGTGGTGGGTGGGCATGTCAATGTCTGTTTACACACTCAATGTCTGTTTACACACTCAACACTTTGAAACAGAGCAGAGCTCTCTTCCTTGGCTATTTTAGTCTTAAAATTCTATCCGCACCTTCCCTTGCACGACGACTGCCTTTCAAAAAACCGTTTCTCCTCTACATCCATTGTTCATGGGGCCTTCTTCTGGCTGTTTTGCTCCTTCAGCTCTCTCTGTGTACCTCTCTAACCCACTCGTTTTTTCCCTTGCATGACGTTTCACTGCTTCAAAATATCTCCACTTGTCTCTACTTTCTCCTCCCGTAGTTTGTGAACCGTTTCACATCACTATCAGGGTCTCCACCTTGTGAGCCAGAGTCAGTGAGTCTCCATCCTTCACCCTGTGCAGTCATTTTCTCGCTGCAACCATTCGTAGTTTCCTTTTTTTTCCAGTCTTTTCTCTAGCGCCGTCTGACTTCAGCAGTTCCAATGCATGCATGTGAACAAGCTTCTCCTCTCATTGCTTGACTCAAACATGCGTTGTGTCTGTATTCACCCTTCTTGTCATCAAGTCTCCCTCTTCATCTGCTCTGTGTCTTCTCTTGTTCAAAAGACTGCATTGCCCCGCATGCCCAAAAATATTATTTGCTGTGTCTGCATTAACTATCCCCTTCTCCCCACTTTTTATGGCGTTTCCCTTGCGGCATTGGACCCTACCCTATGCAGGCCGTGTGTGCTTTCTCCAGTCTGCAGCGAGTGGTGGAACGCCAGGATCAGTGCTGGAAGGCATGGCTGCTGAGCGGGTGATGGGGGTACTTGTGGATGCGGTCAAAGAGGCGGTGCTGGCCGCTGTGAGAGAGGAGCTGGGTGCGCACAAGGAGGGCGTGGATGAGGTGCGGCGCATGTTGGCTGCTGTGGGCGAGGGGAGTGATGCGACTGCTGCTGTGGGGAAGGAGAGGGAGAGGGAGTTGGCAGCAGTGAAGGGGGTATTGGAAGCGATGAAAGGGGGTTTGGCAGCAGTGAAGTGGGAGGTTGCAGCAGTGAAGGGGGGCTTTGCAGCAATGAAGGGGGAGGTTGCATCAGTGAAGGGGGAGTTTGCAGCGGTAAAGGGGGAGTTTGCAGCGGTGAAGGGGGAGTTTGCAGCGGTGAAGGGGGAGTTTGCAGCGGTGAAGGGGGAGGTTGCAGCAGTGAAGGGGGAGTTGGTAGCAGTGAAGGTTGAGTTGGCAGAACACAAGGAGCAATGGGCTGAAGGTAGTAGGGCGTCGTATGTATGGGGGATGAGAGGGGAGAGTAGAAAGAGGAGTCACGAAATGACAGCGGAGCTTGCATGGGAGGAGGAGAGTAGTAGGGAGGTGCAGGAGTTGAGCTGGGGACATGCCATGGAGGAGTTGGCAGCGTGTAACGAATGGCAGAGGACACAAGATCTGAAATTGAATGTTGAGGTGGAAATCCGGCAGAGTGAAGGCGACCAGAGGGCTACATGGGAGGTGAGTGCTGAGTGAACTGCTTCGCATGGCGCACATTGCTTTCTAGTTCCTTCTTGTCACCGTGAACATCCCGTGCCTTGTCATGTACTTCTTTTCCCTCGCCATCCATTTCTGCCTGGCAATCATGTCAGCATCACCGGTTTCCAATCTGGACCTGGGGAATCACCACGGCCTCTCAGACGCCATGCTTGGCCATGTGTCCACCATGACGCACCTCACGAGCATTGACTTGGAAGACAGCTCAGGCTTCAGTGCAGAGGGCATCAAGCACCTCTACAGGCTGCCACGGCTGGAGATGCTAAACCTCAACGGCACAGACATCTCAGACAGTGCGTTGGAGGGCATTGGGTCCTTGACCCGTCTCAAGCAGCTCTATCTCTGGCAGACCAACGTGACCAATGCTGCTCTGCTGCACTTCACTGCTCTCTCCTCTCTCAAAGAGTTGGACCTATCCCATTGCAACGGTGTAAGTGCTGCTGGCGTCGTGCACCTGGGAAGGTTGACAAGGCTTGAGAAACTTTGGCTATACGAGACGGCAGTCACAGACACTGGTCTTCTGCACTTGACAGCTCTCTCCTCTCTCAAAGAGTTGGACCTTTCCCGTTGCAAGGGTGTGAGTGCTGTTGGCATGGTGCATGTGCGAAGGTTGACAGGGCTTGAGGAACTTTGGATACATGAGACGGCAGTCACAGACACTGGTCTGCAGCAGCTGACGGGTCTATCCTCTCTGAAAGTGCTAAGTATTTCCAACTGCAAGGGTGTGACAAATGCTGGCATGGTGCATGTGGGGAGGCTGACAGGGCTTGAGAGGCTTAATCTGGATCATTCGTCAGTCACGGATGATGGGCTACAACAGCTAACTTCCTTGACCAAGCTGACATCTCTCTATACGCCAGAAGATGCTTTGCTTGTGAATGATGATGTGCGCACACGGATAGGCTGGTAGGGCAGCATGGAGGAGTTGACTATGGCTGTCTAGGGAAGACCGAGAAGATGTGTGAAGGCAAGGAGTGTGAAGAATGAGGAGGGGAATGCGTATGGAGGAGCAGGGCATGGAATGGTGGTTCTGCACGGCTCAGCTTGCATGCTGCAGAGAGTTGGAGAATGGTGCTGTTGGGCAGAAGCAGGTGCAATGCTGTTTGGGGTGCAAGAGCCCAACTGCATAAGGGGAGGGTGCATGAGCCATGCCTTCCTATCTCTGAATGCAATCTGTACCATATGTATAGTGGGAATATAGAGAAGGGAACTGCGTGTATGATGAGATATACGGGCTTAGTGTTAAGAAGGACTAGGCAAGAATGATGAGTTAGGAGAAAGCTAGGGTACAAGACTAGGGTATCGAGAAAGTTTGTGTACCCCCTAGTGCTAAACCCCATACAGCCTAGACATCCTAAACAAACATGTATATATAATTTGACACTTAGTCATTCATAAATGACAATGCTCGAAGAACAATGCCTTGTGTTTGCATGGTTAAAAGCAAGAGTCATGCATGTTTTTATGCCCATCCAGTCCACCTTATTCCTTCCTCATGTTCCTTGCCCATCAGCACTACGCTCATCGCCTCCCACAGCAACATCTGGTGTGATAGCAGCAAGCGGCAACACAGGCATCGGAAAGTTGCCTAGGAAGAGTAAGACTAGAGTGGCATGCTGAGACATGCATGATAAATGAGTTGCTTCTTACCGTATCACCCCGGATATAAGCGCAGGCCTATTAAAAGCGCATGCGCTTCTATCTGGAGCAATGCGCTTATGGCCGATCCTCAATTATAAGCGCACCCCTTAAAAAAACGTTATTTATTATAAGCGCATGTTAATTTTAAAATTGAAAAACTGCCAAATCACTGTAACGAAGTTCATTTTAGCTGGCTGATGAGTTGAAAATCGGATTTCCTTCGCATTCAAACCCTGCACAGGTCGCGCGTCCAGTCAGCATGTGCTGTCAGAAGCTCCTAGTGTGTCATTTTGAGTGTATGTGCTGGCAGGGAATCTTTCCCTGCCAAGTAGCGAGAGATTTTCATCCGCAACCCTGTTTCAAATCGACTCGATTGGGTGCGCAATGACGCGAGCTACATTTTCGCGCTCGTAGCATAAAATTCTATATTTGTTATATTATAAGCGCATGCGCTTATAATTTTCACTCAATTAGAAGAGCACCCCCCTGAAAAACACTGATTTGTTATAAGCGCACCTGCGCTTATATCCGGTGTATTACGGTACCCTTATGGCCGATCCATGCGCTTATGTTAGTTCTAAAATTGGAAAACTGTCAAATTACTGTAACAAAGTTCACTTTAGCAAGCCGATGACTTAAAAAACAGATTCCTTTCACATCCAAACCTTGCAGGCTGCGCGTCCAGTCAGCATGTGCTGTCAGAAGCTCCTAGTGATTGATTTTGAGTGTATCGTATCCCCCCGAATAAAAGCGCAGCTGCGCTTATAATAAAACAATGTTTTTTTGGGGGTGCGCTTCTACCGTAATTGAGTCATTTCTATACGCGCATGTGCTTATAAAATGACAACTATAGATGTATAATATTATAACACCAAACTGTAGATCTCGTGCTGGCTTTTCCAATCAAATCGAAGTTCCAAAGGGTCGTGAGTGAAATTCTCGAGCGGCCGGCAGATACAGTCGATGTGACTGACAAGTTGCCCTGACAGCTCATGCTGACAGGAATCGCATTCCGTGCAGGGTTCGTATGTGAGGAGAACCGAATTTGCAGCAGGATAACCTGCTAAAGGGAAAACCGTTGCAGTATTTTCCCACATTTTTATTGTGAAACTTCACATGCGCTTATAATAAATCAAGTCTTTTTTAGGAGGTGCGCTTCTAATTGACGACCGGCCATAAGCCCATTGCTCCAGATAGAAGCGCATGCGCTTTTAATAGGCCTACAGTTATATCTGGGGGGATACGGTATGTGCTGGCAGGGAATCTTTCCCTGCCAAGTAGCGAGAGTTTTTCACCCACAACCCTGTTTCAAATCGACTTGATTGGGTGCGCAGTGATGTGATCACATTTTTGAGATAGTGGTTTAAAATTGTACCGTATTTGTTATTTTATAAGCGCATGCGCTGCACACCCCCTGAATAATCAAGTTTTATTATAAGCGCAGGTGCGCTTATATCCGGGGTGATACAGTAGGTGGAATCATAAGTGTGTGTATTGTGATGGTGCGAACAGGTCATGCGGAGATAACTCTAGCAACGGGAGCTTGACTACGGGGAAGGCACGTGTGTGAGAGGGATCTCTGTTTTTGTTCGTTCCTTAGTCGGTTCCTTGTGCGCACACTACTTGCTAGTTCACGGGAAGAATTGGCAAGAGTTCCACTAGGAAAACATGACAACAAAGGTTCAGAATGATAGCAACAACGTTGGCAACACAGACTACATCAGAGCTAGCTAGGCTGCTGGTCGACCTCCAGCGCAGCACGGTCGACCGCGTTCCAGCGCAGCAATGCTCGTTCCGCTCCAGCGCTGTAGAGATGCGGCGCGCCAACGTTGCATGTCCACGGTGTGCCAACGCTGCCACAAGTTGGCTGCACAGCGTTGCAGCCGCAGGACAACGGTGCATCTACTTCGCAGGTGCGCGAAGCTGGTTGGCGCTCCAGTCAAGAATACTAAGCAGGTATGGGTTCGATTGAAAGAGAGTTGGGTACAAGTATCAAACCCTACAGGAGTTGTACCCCATATTGGCTACCCCACTACAGCCTATACAATATAGCATATATAGTTTGACACACCCCCATAGGCAAAGTGGGGGAGAGCAAGGGGTCACAAGACCAGTCAAGAAAAGCAAAGCAAGCTCAGGGTGGATCACAACGTCACCACACATACTGAGCACAAGCAAAGGGCCACAAGGCCAGTTCACATGCAGAGGTATATATGCAACAAGAACAGTACAGTGATCTCTACCTAGCAAGAGCAAGCATGCAGGTATATATATAGATCACAGTACAAGCAGAGTCTACAGCAAGTGTGGAAACGTAGGCACAAGGCCCAACAAAGTACAAAAGCGCTGATGGTCACCAGACGGAAGTGCCTTGGTGAATATATCAGCAGTTTTGGCCCGAGTGGCCACGTGAGCAAGACGAAGCTGACCACGCTGCTGCAACTCTCGTGCGAGGAAGTAACGCAGAGCGATGTGCTTCGTTCTGTGCTCCAGTCTGTGCTCCTGACACAAGGTAATGCAAAGACCAAGTCGTCGACGTACACGAGGATGTAGAACGGCGGCAGTGAAGTGTCGGTGCGCAGGAACAGCGACGGGTCAGCTGTCGAAGGCGCAAACCCAAGAGCCGCAAGCGTAGTCCTCAGTGTGTTGTGCCACTCACGAGGCGCTTGGCGGAGACCGTAGACTGGCCGCCGGAGGCTCCACTGGGTACCAGGAGGGAACGACCCAGTGAAGTCAGGTGGGCGGCGCAGCCAGATTTCCTCGTGCAGGCTGCCCTGTAAGAAGGCTGTGCTGAAGTCCAGCGAGTGAAGCTCGTAGTCACGCTGAGCGGCAACGTGCAGCAGCACCCGAAGAGTGGTCATCTTCGGGGTGGGGGAGAAGGTCTGGAAGAAGTCGACTCCCTCTCGCTGACTGAAGCCTTGAGCAACGTAACGAGCCTTGAAGACAGGCAGAGAACCCGGCGGCCGCTTCACCCTGAAAATCCACATGCCATCGACGATGTTCGCCCCAGGAGGGGGAACTGCATCGACGTAGGTGCCTGTGGACTTCCAGGATGCCATCTCTGCGTCCATGGCTGTCTGCCACTGAGAGAAGTTCTCACCCGCGATCGCCTCAGCGTAAGAGCGCGGGGTCGGGATGTCTGGTGCATTCGGGTCTCCCTCAGGGGCAAGCAGCATGGCAACGAGATGAGGCGCAGCGGCCGCAAGACACTCAAGGTCCTCCTGTCTGTCCTCAAGGACGTCCGTGCCGAGAGCACACTCACCCCCGACGGATGGAGGACAGACAGACTCAGACTCAGCAACAAGACTAGCAGCAAAGTCAACAAGCTCAGCGACCAGGGCAGACGCAGCAGCAGACTCAAACGACGGGTCGGTGACAACAGTGGCTAACAGACGCGTGACAGTAGGGTGCTCAGTACGAAATTGGTCTGACGCAGGGTCCGCAATGTCAGGCAGAGAGGACGCAGGGGGAGACGGCAGAGGAGCAGGCTACGGAGCGGAGGAAGGACGATGGACTACGAGGTGTGTGCCGTGGACAGCCGGCTGACGCGGACGAGGAACACGACGACCGGAACGACCAGATAGGACAGGCGAGACAGGACGCGACGCAGGCTCACGACGCTGGCTCACGACGCTCAGCAAGACCCCCTGTCTGCTCAGGAGAAGGAGCAGGCAGTGGTGAGCCAGGCTGTAACGGAAGACTAGTAGACGACGGGAGGCTAAGAACCTGGCGAAGCACAGAGTCAGGTGGTGGCTGAGCCGACGGAGACGGCGGAGCGAATAACAGTCGCGGCTGTGCAGTGCCACCAGCACCAGCAGCTCCAGTACCTCCAGCAGCTCCAGCACCTCCAGCAGCTCCAGAACCCCCAGCGCCAGCTCCTCCAGGACCAGCTCCACCAGCAGCAGCACCCCCAGATTCAGCACCTCCAGTCCCACAGTCTCCAGCCTTAGTGTCTCCAGCAGCAGCACCCCCAGAACCGGCACCCCCAGTCCCAGGGTCTCCAGCCTCAGTGTCTCCAGCAGTAGCACCCTCATGAATAGCACCTCCAGCCCCAGCAGCTCCAGTACCCCCAGTACGAGCACCTCCGGGACCAGCGACTCCAGCACCTCCAGTAGACAAAGTACCAGCACCACTCCCTGTTGTGTGATGCAACCATATGCATTCACGTCTGTCTGCCTCCCATCATGTGTTCGTGTGTTGCATGCGTAGTATGAGCGTGTGCAAGAATTTGTGTTTTGTGCGGTTTGGATTTCCTGAGTGTGTGTGGAT